TCGGTCTGCAGCTGTACTACCTAAGCTACGTAGATCTTGGTGGTTGGGCACTGCAGGGATACTTGGTGGTTGGTCACGAAAGTCACCTTCCAGTCGGGCGAGGACAACATCTACTTTAAAATCTAAAAACCCCACTGCGAGGTTGGGGAACAATTACACGCAAATACGCCAAAATGGGTGCAACCTAAAACCGTGAGTGCCGTAGGCTCCAAGTACGGCTTGGGATTTACCCTGGTTTAGGGTCTGGAGTTTCGGGGTGACATTATGCGATAATTAACCACAAGAGCATCTGCTAATGTTGTCCACAGGCGAAGGCCTGCTTCGGTAGGCATGTTTGGTTTGACCCGACTTCTTTTCTAACATTTTCTAACCAGGGTTCTCTAACATGCCTGAACAAAACCCTTTGCAAGAAGCCTTGCGGATATCCCAAACCCTACATAAGCAAACCTTTTCACTTAGTGGAGCGCCTCTCCCTTCATGACCAGCAGGGTGACATCACCTGACAGGCAGGGCTGCCACGGGTTTTGCTTACGCCCAAAAATGGAAATTCAAATGGACAAATTACATGAAACCATGGGTCATGTAGGGTGTTCACCTGACAGGCCTTCTGGCCACATGCTTAGGGTTGTTGTTCATGCAGCGCCTCTTTTTCACTCTGTCCAGCGGTTGTCGAAAAGTGCAGTAGAGCAGACGGAAGCAAGGTTTAGAGCACGAGTACGAATAGCAAACAAGCACTGCCAAGCAAGGCCAAGGTATCTGGTTGCGGTTGCCATGCTTAGATAGCTCCATGCGGAAGAACCAGCAATTAGCCTGCCCACCCGTCTCCAACCCTTATGTAAAAACCTGAGACGCCCATCCGCACTCCCGAAACGGATTCAAGAGAACCTCCAAGCTGGCTAAGTCTTTTGAAGTTGAAAGCCTGAAATGCCGGTTTGGGGGCTGTCTATAAAAACTAACGATCTAAGAAAGCGTCTTGCTGTAGGTCGGTATAAAGCAGAAGCTTTCATTTTATTTGTAATGCCAAGGCCCAGAACCCTGTAGATGGGAGTTTCCGGGAATTTGGGTTTCCTTTTTTGTATCCCTGGGACTAGAGTAGATTGGGTTCTATAATGGGGTCCTCCTGTTTATGGCAACTATCTACCATCTTCCTTATAAAGCCCCTATACCCTGGGTCCTGCCCCCACCCATTAACAGTCTATAATAAGGCTCATGTCACAGCTACATAACTGTATTATATTCATCATTGAACTGTCAATGAATGGGGGCAGTACCCCAAAGCCTGAACCCTAAACCCGTAACCCTAAACCCTGAACGTGAGCCCGGAGCCGTCGAGCAGGG